TTCCTAAGAATTAGAGTTGAGAGTTACGATAAACTGGCTTTAGTGATACAATGGAAATTAGTGCAGTTATCCTATTAATAAAAATGAATCGAGCTGTTAAATATAGAGTTAATATCAGTCTGCAGCTCACATACAGCTAGACAATCTTATTAAAGGAGGAGGGAGCATGTGTAGGGGAAAGGTCAGATTGGGGGAAGTAAGAAGGCTAAGAGTTTGCAAATAAGTATATATTATACAAGGAAGCACATATGAGTCATGGAGAAAGAAATCCTTTTTCATCTGTGTCCCTTCAAGAATAATTAATAGCACTTATGAGCGAGACATTGTTCTGAGCACCTCACATGTATTAATTTCATTCTCAAAAATGTTATAGAGAGTCTGGGCCTTTTGAAGCTAGGTCATAAGAAGCCTGGCAGCTTCTGCTCGTGCTTCTTCGAACACTCTGGTAGCTCTGAGCTGCCATGTAAGAAGTCTTACTACCCTGAGACTGTCATGCTTGCTGGAGAGGTCTCCTGTCGGCATGCTGGCGGACAGCTCCAGCTGATCTCAGCATTCCAGTCATCTCCATCTAGGTCTCAGATACGTGAGTGAAGCTCTCCAGATTAACCCATCTGCTTGCTGAATACCACATGGGACAAAAGAATCACCCAGCGGAACCCCACCCCAATTTTTGACCCATAAAATTGTGAGCTATATTAAAATGGTTGCTAATTAACAAAATATAAACAAACCATGAGATAGGTTCTCTCATTCTCATTTTACAGATGAGGAAATGCACAGAGAGGTTACTTTGTGCCAGGAACACATAAGGCATTGAAGATAGAATTATTAACAAAATAGATATAAGCTTCTGCCTTGGCAGAGCTCACAGACCTCCTGGGAAGTTAGATAATCAAATACTCTTTAAAGTGTAATGAAAGTTATGAGGGGGGATGTAAAATAAAGCTTGCTGTGGTAACTACCAGTTAGGGCCTCTAAGGGGTTAAAAGAGCCCTTCTTGTTCACGTGACCTTTCCACTGAGATATGAATGGTGAGTAAAAGAGTTAGCCAGGTGAAGGTCGGTGAGTGTGGAGAGAGGAAGTGTTTCAGGCAGAGGAAACAACATATGCAAAGGACCATAGACCTCAGTGAACTTTAGGAGTATAAGGATTTTTAGTGTGTGGCTGGAGTATGAAGTTTGTGGTGGTGAATGTGAAAAGTCTAGGATAAAGGTAGAAAGTGTCTGTAAACCATATTGTAAAATGTGGGCTTTACTCTGAGGACAATGAGAAGCCTTTGAAAGGTTAAGTCAGGGGAATTACAGAGCATTTTTGTATTTTAGAAAGGTTACTCTGTCTGCTGTGCCAAGAATGGACTAGAAGGCAGCAGAACTATATGCAAGGAAACTAGTTAGGAAGGTTTAGTAATTAATTAAATGTGAGTGGGGAGGAAATAAGAGAAATTAAGGTGGACTGTCAGGTTTCTTGCATGGGCAGTTGAGTACACTATGTGCTCCAACAGATGATAGTATTTCTCTTATCATAGTGAAGATCACGCTTTATTTTGTTACGAGAGCGTAGGGACCATATTTGCCTCCCCCCCTTTTTTTTATCCTCACCCGAGGACATTTTTCCATATTTTGTTCGGATAGAGTGGGAGGGGGGGAGAGAGAGAGAAACATCGACGTGAAAGGGACACATCGAGTGGTTGCCACCCGCACAACCCAACCAGGGCCGGGGACAAACTGCAACTGAGATACACACCCTTAGCGGGAACTGAACCCGGGTCTCTCTGGACCGCAGGCCGACGCTCTAACTGCTGAGCCGAATTGGCCAGGGCTTGCCTCCTTTTTTATTTTTATTTCTGTTAATCCTCACCCAAAGGTATTTTTTTTCCATTGATTTTTAGTGAGAGTGGAAGAGAGGAAGGGAGGGGAGAAAGAGAGAGAGAGACAAAAAGAGAGAGAGAGAGAGGGAGATTGACTGGTTGCCTCCCGCATGCAACCGGACCAGGACCAGGATCAAACCTGCAACCCAGGTACGTGCCCTTGACTGGAATCAAAACTGAGACCTTTCTAACCGCTGAGCCAAACCGGCCAGGGCAAAACTGAGACCTTTCTGTCTGCAGGCTGATGCTCTAACCACTGAGCCAAAACAGCCAGGGCCATATTTACCTTCTTAATTGACAATACCCAGCACACTGTTCCTGCCTGGCACATATGCTAATAAGCATACTATAAATATTTACCAAATTTAAATTTAACTGAATGGGCCAGGCCAGTGTGGCTCAGTGGTTGAGCATTGACCCATGCACCAAGAGGTCGTTGGTTCAATTCCTAGTCAGGGCACATGCCCAGGTTGTGGACCCAGTCCCCAGTGGGGTACATGCAGGAGGTGGCCAATCGAAGTTCTCTCTCATAGACGTATCTATCTCTCTCTCTCCCTCTCCCTTCTTCTCTCTCTAAAATCAATAAAGAAAAAAAAATTTAATGTTTTTAACTGAATGGGGGTACTGGAAGAGAAACGAGTTTTGGGAGGAACCTGACAAGATCAGTTAGAACACATTGTGGTACCTGTGAAATACCCAAGTGGAGCTTTTAGTGGACAGTGGATTAGACTGGAGCTCCAAGTAAAGATCTGAAGTGAAACCCTGGCCGATTTGGCTTAGTGTTTAGAGTGTTGGCCAGAGGACCAAAGAGTCTCCGGCTAGATTCCTACTAAGGGCACGGGTTGCGGGTTTCTGTTGCAGTTCATCCCGGCCCTGGTGGGGGTCGTGCAGGAGGTAACTAGTTCATGTGTCTCTCTTACACTGTTGCTCCTCTCTCTCTCCCACCCTCCCTCCTCTCTTTCTAAAGATAAATGGAAAAAATATCCTAGGGTGAGGGTTAAAAAAAAAAAGATCTGAAGTGAAGATATGGTACTCAGCAGCATATAGACCTCATTTGAGCTAGAGAGATTAAGACTACCATAGATATACTGAGCAAAAGGGCACAGGATCTCAGACCACTAAGGTTTAAGGAACAAGCAAAGGAGAGTCCTTCCTTATGCAATAGAGAAGGAAGTGCTAGAAAAGTAAAGGAAACACCCACAGTGTTTATAGAAGGAGAAAAAAGTCAATTGTGTTGGCAATGGCTGAGATGTCAAGTAGCATAAGGACTGCAAAGTGTCTGTGCAAACTCAAAGATGACCCTAGTGAAGAGTGACCTTAGAAAGATGAGGGAGTCAGGGGAGAAGAAATGAAGACCTCTGTGTCTAGGCAATTCTTTCAAGAAGTTTGATTTTAAAAAGGAAGAGGTATGCTGATAACTGGAAAGCACAGTCAAGGGAGGTTTGTCTAAAGATCAGGAAGACTTGGCTACATTTAAAAGCTGTTGGGAGCCCTGGCCAGTTTGGCTCAGCAGTTAGAGCATCGGCCTGCGGTCCAGAGACCCGGGTTCGGTTCCCGCTAAGGGTATGTACCTCGGTTGCAGTTTGTCCCCAGCCCTGGTTGGGTTGTGTGGGTGGCAGACACTCAATGTGTCCCTTTCACATTGATGTCTCTCTCTCTCTCTCTCTCTCTCTCTCTCTCTCCCACTCTATCTGAACAAAAAATGGAAAAATGTCCTTAGGTGAGGATTGAAAAAAAAGCTGATGGGACGCCCTGGCCAGTTTGGCTCAGCGGTTAGAGCGTCGGCCTGCGGTCCAGAGAGACTCGGGTTCGGTTCCCGCTAAGGGCACATACTTCGGTTGCAGTTTGTCCCCGGCCCTGGTTGGTCGTGTGGGTGGCAGCCACTCGATGTGTCCCTTCACGTCGATGTTTCTCTTTCTCTCCCTCCTACTATATCTGTACAAAAAATGGAAAAATATCCTTGGGTGAGGATAAAAAAAAAAAAAAATTATAAAAAAAAAAAAAGCTGATGGGAGCCCTGGCTGGTTTGGCTCAGGGGTTGGAGTGTTGCCCGCGGACCAGAGTCCTGGGTTCGGATCCTGCTAAGGGCATGTAGGTCGGTTGCAATTTGGCCCTGTTGGGGTCCTGTGGGTGGCTACCACTTGATGTTTCTCTCTCTCTCTTCCTCTCTCCCTCCCGCTCTTTCTGAAGATAAATGTAAAAACGGCCTCGGGTGAGGATTAAAAACAACAAAACAGCCCTGGCCTGTTTGGCTCAGCGGTTAGAGCATCGGTCCAGAGAAACCCAGGTTCAGTTCCCGCTAAGGGCACGTACCTCGGTTGCAGTTTGTCCCTGGCCCTGGCTGGGTCGTGCGGGTGGCAACCACTCGATGTGTCCCTTTCATGTCGATGTTTCTCTTTCTTTCTCTCCCTTCCACTCTATCTGAACAAAAAATGGGGGAGGGGGGTAAAGATAAGTTTAAAAAATAATAATAAAAAATAATAATAAACTAGCCCTGGCCGGTTTGGCTCAGCGGTTGGAGCGTCGGCCTGCGGTACAGAGAGACCCGGGTTCGGTTTCCGCTAAGGGCGTGTACCTCGGTTGCAGTTTGTCCCCGGCCCTGGTTGGTTTTGCGGGTGGCAGCCACTTGATGTGTCCCTTCACATCGATGTTTCTCTCTCTCTCTCTTCCTCTCTCTCCCTCCCGCTCTATCTGAACAAAAAATGGAAAAATGTCCTCAGGTGAGGATAAAAAAAAACAAAAAAAAACTAAAAAAATTAAAAAGAACAAACAACAAAACAAAACAAAATGTCCTCAGGTGAGGATAAAAAAAAAGAGGGAGAGGCTAAAGTACAGGAGAGAGAGCTTCTGAGAAAGCAGAAAATAATGGGATTTGAGCACTTAATAAACATTAGATTAATGAATTAATGGGTGAAGTTGGTCACTATTTTGGAATTGGTAAGGAAGAATTAAGGGGTGGGAGTCTCCACATTTTGAAAGTGGAGCAAACTAAGGAAGACTATCACTGAGGCAGAATCCTAGTACTAGCAGTCTAGCCCTCAGATCACACATCAGGGGAGGAGAGCTGGCTGTCTGATGTCATCAAGGGGGAGGTACCCCAACCCTACCCCATCTGTCCAAAGCCAGACAAAAAGCCTCACAGAAAGCCTCACGTTGTGCAGTGGAGAAACAGAGAAGGGGAAAAGAGGAGTGGTCAGGTAAGGAGGAAGCACGAGTGTGGGTTTTAAAGCTCTGGCAATGGACAGAGGAGGTCAGTTCCCACCTTCCAGGGAAAAGCTGACATCAGTCTTCCATCTGCCCCAAAATGCTGTCTAGCATCCTGTACTAGTTGTCCACAGTCACTGACTGAAGTGTGATTAATAAATGTATTGTGTGGTGCCTGGCCGGTGTGGCTCAGAGGATTGAGTGTTGACCCATAGACTGAGAGGTCCTGGTTTGATTCCTGGTAAGGACACATTCCTGGGTTGTGGGCTCTATCCCCAGTAGGGGGCATGCAGGAGGCAGCCTATCCATGTACCTCTCTCACATTGATGCTTCTATCTCTCTCTCCCTTCCTCTCTCTTTTTTTTTATTTTTATCCTCACCCGAGGATATTTTTCCATTTTTTGTACAGATAGAATGGGAGGGAGAGAGAGGAAGGGAGAGAGAGTGAGAAACATCGATGTGAAGGGACACATCGAGTGGCTGCCACCCGCACGACCAACCAGGGCCGGGGACAAACTGCAACCGAAGTACGTGCCCTTAGCGGGAACCGAACCCGGGTCTCTCCGGACCGCAGGCCAACGCTCTTAACCGCTGAGCCAAACTGGCCAGGGCTCCCTTCCTCTCTCTTTAAAAAATCAATGAAACATATTTTAAAAAACAAAAAAAAAATTAAATGTATTTTGTGGTTAGTTAAGATCTGTCTTTAAGTTCCAAGAAGGCAAGGGCTATGTCTATCTCCTTCCTCTCTCTTATCTCCAGTGCCCGACACTGTTCCTTTCACACTGGAAATGCTCAGCCAATCCTGGTTAAGAGCATGAACAAATGAATCCACACACTAAAGTAGGGTTCCACCCAAGAGGCTTTTAAGTACAGAGGATTGTATCAAGGCTTTCCAGCTCCCCAAAACACGTCCTGGATTGGGAGGATGGTGGCATTTTCATCTCTACCTCTAACTCTGAACCCCTATGTGTTTCTCCCATCCACTTTCTTGTTCTCTCCAATGTGGTCTTACTATTTTTCTGGCTCTCTGTTTCTGTGTCTCTGACTCTGCACAGGAAGCACGCAGCTTTAGGTCTGAGGTGATCAGTAATGGAAACTTTGGTGCCTGTGTACATTTAATAAGGGGTCACAAACTTTTTTTTTTTTTTTATCTTTGCCATTAACTACTTTCTCTTTGCCTATGTTCCTGTCTCAGACCTGGTTCTTTTCCCCCATCTTCCTGTGTCCAGCTCAAGAGTCCCACCGCCATCCAGGACCAACTTCTTTTGCCCCGGGTTCTTCTGATGGGCCCCAGAAGGTACCTGGAGGCAAATCACTGAGCTAGGCCATGTCTGATTTCCTGCCTTGCTGGCCTCACAGCCCTATTGACCACATCCTCTGTCATCTTACTGATGTACTTCCTCACTAGTCACATTACTCAGGAGTTCTCAGCCCCCAAAATCTGTCAGCGACCCCCACTTTGCTTTACCCTCTTCTCTCACACCAGGATTCCTGTCCTTACTTCCTCAGACACTGCTCCTAGAATCATGTTGTCTGCCTAGAAGTAGCCAGTTCTGTCCCTTTCTGGATATCCAACACTGCTTTCTCCCACAGGTGACAGTACTGACCACAATGCTGTCGGGCCAGTGGTGGCCCAGTACTTGGGGGAGCCTAGGATTGGGACCCAGAAATACTTCTCGGGGATCCCAGCTCTGTGCCCTCTATGCCTTCACTTATACTGCGGCAGATGGCCAGCAGGTATCTCTGGCTGAAGGGGAAAGGTTCCTACTGCTTCGAAAGACCAACTCAGATTGGTGGTTGGCAAGGCGCCTGGGAGTACCATCCACCTCACGACCCATCTTCGTACCAGCTGCCTACATGACAGAGGAATCTATCTGTTCCCAGAGCCCAACTACCGTCACCACCAGGAAATCTCTCTCGACTCAGGGTAAGCCCTCCCAACACCTTCTTAACTCCCTGGCTTCTGGGAATTATTGGAAGGATTCTCCTCCTTCAAGCTTCTGCTGATCCCCTTCTCTTATTTTTCTTTCTTTTCTTTTTTTTTTATCCTCACCCGAAGACATTTTTCCATTTTTTGTTCAGGTAGAGTGGGAGGGAGAGAGAGGAACAGAGAGAGAGAGAAACATCGATGTGAAAGGAACACATCGAGTGGCTGCCACCCGCACAACCCAACCGGGGCCGGGGACAAACTGCAACCGAGGTACGTGCCCTTAACGGGAACCAAACCCGGGTCTCTCAGGACCGCAGGCCAACGCTCTAACCGCTGAGCCAAACCGGCCAGGGCCCCTTCTCTTATTTTTCTATGATCAGCCTACTCCTTATCCTCACTATGGTGTCCCATTGCCTCTCTTCCCAGTCTCCAGTCTTCAAGGTCTCATTTTATTTTTCAACAGCAACCACCCCCTGCTCCTGTCTTCCCTGTGAGCCCCCAGGAGGGGGCATCCTGCCAAGATCACACCTCTGATCACCTGCCCCCTGCTCTTCCCATTTCTGTTTCCAGAGCCACAGTTGTTTCCTGGCTCACTGGAGGAACTGCACCTATCTCAGGCAACCCCAGGCAGAGCCCAGACTACATCACAGCAGCTTCTTTCTCTTCCCCCCCAAATCAGTAGAAGTGTCAGTGTTACCAATTTGAGGCCCACCCTCCTGAAGCCCTTCCAGGATGGACAAAATGGAAGCTCTCTCTCCCGGGAGGACTTGCTGACAGAGGCCAATTCCAGTGTGGTGAGTCACAGCTCTCCTTGTAAGCAGCTGTGATCAACAGATATTTACTGCTGGGCCCTATTCTAGGCACAGTGGCAAATAGACAGACAGACTAGACTCTCTGCTTTCAAGGGTTCCCATGGAATGACAGCACACGTAAACCAATATGCGTTGGTAGTGATAAGCGCTACGAGGAAGGTAAATATGGTGGAGAGGGACTAAACCGGCCTAGGAAGGCATCCCTGAGGAGATGATGTTTAGTTGAATCTGAATAAGGAGAAGTCAGAGACAGCCATGATGCAAACTAGAAGATGAGAAAGAATTCTAGCTGAGGAACAGGACAGCAGTGGTAAAGACCCTGAGGATACATGGAACCTGGCAGATAGAGGGACTGAAAGAAAGCCAACCTCAGCTATGCTTTCTCTCTCTTCCTCCTACTCCTGGCCCAAGGCAGGGTTTGTCCTGTGTCAGGTCTTGCCAGCTGAAGTCACCAGTATGTCCCCTCGAGAGATGGAACTCCCTTGTTCTTCCTGAACACTCAGCCCCTCCCCTCTCTTAGTTACTTGTGGTAGAAAAATGGCCCCTCCTTTCTCACACCCACTCCTCTCTGCCTCCTTTTACTCTGGAGGATGTGAGGTTGGGGAGCTCCCTTCAACCCCCGCCCCACACATACACATAAAGCCTGTTCCCCTTTCCTGCAGCCCTGGGGTGGGGGTGGGGGTAGGGTGGGGGAGGAGGGAAGTTGGCAACAGGAAGTGAGGAGAAGAGCAAAGAAGACTGTGAGGGAGGGAGTCAAAAAAAAAAAAAAAAGAAACAACCCAGCTGGGGACCCGGTTTCTCCCTCAGTACCTGGGTCACTCCAGCCAGGATCTGGTGGTGAGAAAATGGTGGGAGAGAGGAGGAGGCAGTTAGGCAGAGAGAAGTTTGGGGAGGGACACAGGCAGAATAACTACCTCTTTTTCCCCCATTCCTGGCAGGCAGGACCCCAGCCCCTCATGTCAGAGTCCCCTGTGTACTGTAACTTACTGGACCTTCGCCGTTGTCCCCGGTCCCCACCCCCAAGCCCTGCGTGTCCCCCGCTGCAGAGGCTGGATGCCTGGGAGCAGCACCTGGACCCTAACTCTGGACGCTGCTTCTACATAAATTCGCTGACTGGCTGCAAGTCCTGGAAGCCCCCACGCCGCACTCGAATCCGAGAGGTGAGACGTTCCCTCCTGTTTATCTGTCCCCTCAATTTCCTCCTTTCCCCTACTGTATTCCAAAGTAGTGTGTTTTCTTTCTGGGCTCTCAGAAGATCAGAAGAATCAGAAAATTGTGAGAAGGGTGTTGAGAGCAGGTTGAGGTGGCATCTGGACGTAGCTTTACCTCCCCCTCCCCCCAGAACCCGGGCTCCATGGAGGGAACACAGACCCTGAATAGGGACAACGGTGTCCTGCAGCCTCAGGCAAAGGGCTCAGAATCTGGAACACGGTCCCCAGAACTGCTCAACCCCCAGGTGAGATTCCTTCCTCCTCCAGATTGCAAGCAGAAAAAGACATCTTTTCACGACTTTCTCTTTTATGCAAGACATTCTTTACTACACCCCTGTCACCCACACCCACACCCCTCTTTCCCCACAGCTAGGGACTTCCAAGTTAGAGTTTCCTCCACCTGTTTCTCCAACCCCCCCTGCCCCAGGGTTCACCCTGCCTCAGCCAACGCACCTCCCAGCTCAACCCCTCAGATCAGCCTTCAGCCAGGCAGTCCCTTCGGCCTCTGCCACAAGTCCTGGACGACCCTCATGTAAGTCTCCCATTTTCGAGATCCTCCCAGTCCCAGCACCCAATTCCTGCCCCTCCAGAAACATCTTCCTCTTTCTGAGTGTTCTCTGGGTATTCTGCCTCCCCAGCCTCCCCATTTCTGTGTAAAGGACCTCCTGGGAGACCACCTGGGGAAATCCCGAGGGTCTGTGAGGGGCACTGGGTGACTTACTGGTACCTCTCCTCCTTTCCCAGGAGGTGGAAAAGTGGGGCCAGCTCAACATGACTAAGATTGCTCAGGGTGGTCGCAAGCTCAGGTGAGGAGAGCTGGGAATACCTCAGGGATCTGGGCTATTGGCCTCCTTCCAAGGGTAGAGCAGTGTTGGGAGAGCCCCCTTCCCTAATGATTCTAAGTGACCTTTGCACTACTACCACCGCCCCTCTGCCCCTGCAGGAAGAACTGGGGCCCATCTTGGGTAGTGTTAACTGGTAACAGCCTGGTGTTCTACCGAGAGCCACCCCTCGCTGCACCCTCCTCAGCCTGGGTGAGTGCGAGAAAGGGACGGGCGGGTGCCCGCAGGGCTCAATTCTACCCGCCTCCCGCCAACTGTGGGGGTGGAGGTGGGGAGGGAGATGTAGAGGAAGGGAAGGAATTGGGACGGAGCACGGCCTCCCATGGAGAGAGGGAGACAGTGAGGGAAACCGAACCGTGGCCTCAGTTTCTCCCCTGATTACCAGGGACCAGCGGGCAGCCGACCCGAAAGCAGCGTGGATCTACGCGGGGCGGCCCTGGCCCATGGCCGCCACCTGTCCAGCCGCCGCAACGTCCTGCACGTGAGTGCCCTCCCAAGCATCCCAGAAGTCCCATCTGACACGAGGATGCGCCCTCAATTTCCCGCAAGTCTCCGGCACTTTAAGCTCCTCTCCGCTGACCCACGTCTTTCCCCCATCGCCCCCTCAGATCCGCACGATCCCTGGCCATGAGTTCCTGCTGCAGTCAGACGTCGAGGCGGAGCTGCGGGACTGGCACCGCGCGCTGCGGGCGGTCATCGAGCGCCTGGTGAGTTGGGTGGGAGGGGCGGGACGGAGCTGGGGACTGGCCCGGGCTGGGCGGGGCCGAGGGGTGGGGAAGGAACTGTAGGGTTCTGGGGTGTAGGGTGGTCTCAGTGTAGAGCCCTGGGATGGGCTGGTACGTGGGACCCCAGTTAGGGTCTCCTTGCTTCGAGTTGGGGGTGCAGATTTCTCTCTCTTCCAATCTCCGACTCCGCTCACCGCACCCGTCCGGGTCTAGGATCGGGAGAACCCCCTGGAGCTGCGTCTGTCGGGCTCGGGACCTGCGGAGCTGGGAGAGCTGAGTGCTGGGGAGGACGAAGTGGAGTCGGAGCCCGTATCCAAGCCTCTGACACTTTTCGGCGGCCGCCGGAGCTCCAGTTAGAGGCGGGCCTGGGGGGCGGGCCTTGGGGGCGCGTCTCCAGTTTCCTCCTCCTGGAGGCCGCGCTCACACTCTGATTCCAGCTGCCTCCTACAGGTCGCTGCCCAGAAGGAACTGAACAGAACCGTGTTCGGAACAAACTAAAGCGGCTTATCGCTAAGAGGCCGCCCTTGCAAAGCCTGCAGGAGCGGGGTCTGCTCCGAGGTGAGGCGGGCTGGGCCAGCTGGCACCTTTCTCCTTCGTGCCCTCTGTAGTGCTTTTACATTCCTGATCTGGGCATCAGCCCATGTAATGGATGAGAAAACTCCAGTGAGGCTCAGAATAGAATTTCCCAGAACTAGATCGGCCGCGTTCTGAGACCACTGCTTTTCTCTCTAGTGCTGATTGTTGGGAAGTGGGTGTATCTCCTTGTCCAGTCCTAGAACAGGCAGCCAGGAGGGCCAGCCCAACTTTGGGGTGAAGGCTTGTGCTGAGAAGAACTTCCATGGGGACACTGGCTTCCCCCCTCACTCTGTATCTCCCCAGACCAGGTGTTTGGCTGTCAGTTGGAGTCACTGTGCCAGCGGGAAGGAGACACCGTGCCCAGCTTTGTGAGGCTCTGCATTGCTGCTGTAGATAAGAGAGGTCATTTTCCCAGATACCCCAACATCTACCCTTCCAACAGGCTAAGGCCTAGAATTCCCAACCTTCCTTACCCTAGTCTTCCTTTTAACCTTTTCTCTCCACCCTGGGATCCCTCACCTGACCTCACCACACACACATATTAGAGCAGAAATCCTTATCTTCTTCTTGCCTCATCTCCTAGGTCTCGATGTGGATGGCATTTACCGGGTGAGTGGGAACTTGGCAGTGGTCCAGAAACTGCGCTTCCTGGTGGACAGAGGTGAGAAGGCCTATGGGCAAGTGGTGTGCTAAGAATTTCATGCGAGGGAGCTGGCACAACAGGGAGGTCTTCTGGCTGGAATTGTATGTCTTAGCTCCTAATCTCTTCTCATACATATTACAGAGCGGGCAGTCACCTCCGATGGGAGGTATGTGTTCCCAGAACAACCAGGACAAGGTATTTATGTGGAAGGCCCCTTAGACCCCTCAAAGTTCTTAGACCCTTAAAAAATGCTCCCTGTGAGTTTCCCCATGTCCTGCTTCTGGAGGGGTTGTCCCCATCCCTACCTCTGCTGTCTTGCCCCACTGTAGACCTCCTAGGCATTCCTATGGTCTGCCTTAGCTTAATCTTCTCCCAAACTGATCTCTCAGTCTCTGGGTCTCTCTGGCCCTTCATGAGTCCTGAATCCCTCTATACCTCTTTCTCCTTCCAGAAGGCCGGTTAGATTTGGACAATGCTGAGTGGGATGACATTCATGTGGTCACTGGAGCCCTGAAGCTTTTTCTCAGGGAGCTACCTCAGCCTCTGGTACCCCCACTGCTGCTGCCCCATTTTCGTGCTGCCCTTGGTAAGGGATTGGAACTTTGAGCAATACCCTTGATATTGCGGGGAGGCATGAGTGGTAAAGAACAGAGTAAAGTAGAGGTTTCCTTATACTCTTCTGTCTCATCCTGAACACAGAGATAGAAAATAACTTTTAACACATGTGCCAACTCTAGGTGTGTGTGTGTGTGTGTGTGTGTGTGTGTGTGAATGTTTAGAGGGCTGAATTAAAAAGAATTCTAAGGCGACAGTTTGGCTTAGTGAAAAAGAAAGCTGTGATGGATAAATGATATCTTCCATGGGCTTGAGAAAGACTAAGTTACCAACCCTGCACTAGCACCTTCCCTAAGCTCATCCCCATGCTCTTCCCATTACTCTCTCTCTCTCTAGCACTCTCGGAATCAGAACAGAGCCTTTCTCAAATACGAGAATTAATAGCCTCAATGCCAAAGCCCAACCATGACACTCTGCGGTACCTCCTGGAGCATTTATGCAGGTCAGGAAAACTGAACATCTTTGTTCATTCAGGGAGAGGGTGGGGTGGGCATGTAGCAGGGACTCTGTTCGAATGGGGTGAAGGTAGGGAAACACCCAAGTTTAGAGCAGATTGAGGAAACAGGCAACCTCTGTGCAGGGGCATATTACAAGGTCAAAAACTTATGGTCAGCATCAAATGAGGAAATGAGAACCGAGACAAGCACAGTGATGCTGTATAAGAAATAAGGAAAATCTAACTGCTCCCTTACCTCTGCCTCTTTGTTTCCCATTGGAACAGTGGTGATGGCTTATTTGGCTGAGCTGGGCCTGGGCAATAATTTCTGAGAAAGGATAGCTATTTGAATTAAAGCCTTCCAAACTGTGAGCAGAGAGGAATCTAGGGACAGTCTCTGAAGCTGGGAAAAGGTGGTTGTATACTAGCTTGTATCTTCCAGTTGCATCCTGAAGTTTTCTCCACTGATCCTATCTCCATCCCCCTTGAGATTCTTTCTCCTTTGTTTCTTTTGGCCACTACATGGAGGGATCCCAGAGTGAACTCTTCTCTGCTCAAATCTTTGAAGGGTTAGATTTATTTGAAGTGGCAAAGCTGCTGCCTTATAGCCCCTTCTTTTGGCCTTTGCCCACAGGGTGATAGCACACTCAGATAAGAACCGCATGACTCCTCACAATCTGGGAATTGTGTTTGGACCAACCCTGTTTCGACCGGAGCAGGAAACATCTGACCCAGCAGCCCATGCTCTCTACCCTGGGCAGCTAGTCCAGTTGATGCTCACTGACTTCACCAGCCTCTTCCCCTGACTGGGGTGTGGAAGAAGAGAAAACGTGTTTTCAGTGATACCCTTCGATGGTATGGTGTGTTCTGAGGACATCCCTTTAAATCTTTGTCTTCTAGATGACTGTCTCCATTTTTGTGAGTCTGACCTGCGGAGCTGGGAAGTAGTGAGGTAGCTTCTCTAAAGAGGAAATGGGAGATTTTAACCCCTGCTTCTCTTCTTGTTCCCTGTCATCACCCCTCCCCAAGATATTAGCATATAAAGCAGGGCTCTTTCTGATGCAGTTCCTTTATTAGGAAACAGTGTCATTATCAAATTCTTTCTCCAAATATATACAGATTTTATACAGCCCCCAGCCCCTACCTCCTATTCCTGGGGCATCCCAAGGGGCTATGGCTCCTTCTCCTGACTTCTCTGGGGGGATGGACACCCCTTAGGAAATGTGGATCTGTAATGGGTGGGATTCCACACTTTAGGCACTAGAGTTGAGGAATTGTGTCTCACCAGGCAAGGATTCCAGTAAGACACTCATGTTGCCCACAGCCATGTTGGGGGCTCCAGAGGGAGGTGGAGTGTGTTCAGAGTTGTCCCCCTGGTTGTGGGATGGGGGAGGACTCAGTCCCTGGGCCTCATCCAGAATAGCCACAAAGTCCAGCTGAGTGTTGTCAAGATCAAGAGAGTCCAGGGGGTTACATACCTGTCCTTCAGGAGGAGGGTATAAGGCAGGACCCCCTCCTAACCTGCCCACCTCAGGGTGCCCACAGCTGGGGTTGGTGCCCCCTGCCTTTAGGGGCCCATAGCAAGTTGGCAGTGGGGGCAAAAGTCGGGGTGGTGCTGCTGCTCTATGGGAAGCCTTGTTTCCCCCCACTGCAAAATTTTCATGGCATGGTGAAGGCGTAGGATAGGAGCCTGACTTATGATTGTGCAAGTTAGGTACAAAGCCAGGTCCATATGTGGCCACTGGGGCCTTGGCAGGGTTTGGACTAACCTGGGAACCCCCCAGAAACTTGGGACTCTGGTAGAGAGGTTCCGGGACTGGAGTATTTCCCCTGCCCCCACCCTCCCACAGCAGCTCCTGTTGAGACTGAACATAATTACACACAAGCTGAGCCTTGAGCTGTCCTGTGGATTGAGCAGGGTGATCAAAATCTGGGCCAGGCCTGGATTCTGAAGGAAGATAATCAGGGGGTGGCTGGGTATAGGGGCCTGACTGGGGATACTGAGGAGGAGGAGGCTGGGGGTAGTGGGAGAACAGAGGCTGTGGGCATGGAGGTCCCTCACTGGTGTGGGCATTGAGGCAGGGTGCCAGGCCTGTGGAGTCAGAGCCCATTGGACACCCCTGTTCCGGCTTCACCTGTACATGTCCATAATGTTCAAGATGAGGACACTGGCTGTAGGCTCCAGCTGGAACCTTGGGTCCTGGGTACAGCCCAGATGGGGCAGGGAACTCACCCCATGTTTCTGGGGTGGGGTCAGGATAGGAGACCTGCTGGGGACAGGGATTGTGGCTGTAGTTTGTGGGTGGACTGGGTCCAAGAGGCAGAGAGCCTGGGCCCCTAGCTCCATAAGGCTCAGCTGCTGTCCCCTCAGGTCCCCCGTAACCCAGAATATCAGCAGGTGGGAAGTCCATATAGGGGTTCAGACCACTGCCCATCATGGAGGGCCTAACCTCTGGCTCCTCCCGTAGCCCTCTGGTATCCACGGTGACATTCTCAGTGATGCTGCGGGGCTGTGGTGAGTAGACAGAGGTTGGGATTTGGGAATCAAAGTTCCGTCCTCCTCCTGCCATGGTGGGGGGGTTGTGAACACAACCCAAGCTCTTGAACCGCTGTACTCTGGTTGGGGCCGGGTGGTCAGCAACCCGGGCTGGATCACTGGCCCTCCGGGTGACCCCTGCATTGGGGTTGTATCCTGGATACTCAGCTCGGCTTCTCCAGGGAGGTCCAGGAAGACCTCCCATTCGGTCCAGGCTGGATGCTGCAGTGGGTGGGGTACCAACTCCTCTGGCTGAAGCATATCTTGCCCGGAGCAGGTAGTGCTGGGCAGGTGTGAGGCCAGGCAGAGAGGATGTCCCATTCTCTGGCGGGGAGCCAGGGGGGAAAGGGGAGGCCAAGGAGGAGCGGCGGCTGACCGTATAGGCCGAGCTGACACTGCTGGAGCTGCTGCTGCGGCGGTCAAGAGAAACTGGGGGGCCCAGACGGCGGGACACAGGGGTGCCTATAATAGGGAGAAAAGGCAGGGTGGTCAGGAAGCCCCCTGAATCGCCCTGCCTGACCCATGGGACAGCCTTATCCTGGAATCCCAGGGAAAGGCTCCTTAACTCTAACCACTTAGTTCTGTCTCCTCTGTCTCCCATGCCCTTTCTGCTTCTGTGTCAGCAGGGATTCAGGCTGCTCTGAACAGCTGTGCAGGCTGTACATTGCACAGTCCTAGAGGACAGCACTACCCTCACAGACTTTGTACATTACGCCAATTTTCTGATCTAAGGAAGGAAAGTATCTTAAGGAAGGAAAACCTTTTTCTAGTGTACAAAACTGCTATATTGAAGCTCTGAAGGGTGAAGTCCTCCCTCCAACCCCAAGGAAGGTCCAGATCTCAGCCCAACAATCACCCACTACACCCAGGTCTCACCAGTGTGGGTCAAGCTGGGCAGTTTGAGGCCTCGAGGCCCTATTGGCCGGAGTTGATGTAGCTGGTCCAGCCTGAGGTTCTCAAGGCGGCGAAGAGTGGACAGACCAGTGCCAGCAATGCAAGGCCCCTCATCCAAGCTGGACAGGTCCTCAGTGCTGCCCCCTGTATTTCCAGTCATTTCCACACCACTGTCTGTATTGGCTGCACTGCCTGCTGGGGAGTGGTCACTGCTGCAGGATGACTGGGCCCCAGGGCTTGGCTGTGGCTTCTATGGGGAAGAGGAGAGCTGAGGGTGGCGCCCCTTTCCCCTTTTCCCACAGCTCCTGAATTTAGTGAGTGACTAGAAGCCTGTGTCCCCGTGGCTGCTGGGGTTGAGGGGAAGCTTACAGGTGTAAAGAGGGCTGAGCAGCTGAGGGACAGGGCAACCTGGAGGATAGACATTGATGAGAATAGCCTAGGCTGGAGCACAGGCTGCCTGGGCCCAAATTCATCCTCTTAGTTCTATGATCTCGGGCAATTTCTCTAGGCCTGAATTTCCTCATCTGAAAATGGGGAAAATAAGTTCATGTTGCATGAAACTGTTGTGAGGTGTACATGAAATTATACATGTAAAGGTCTTGGAACAATACAGTAAGTTCTATAGAAGAATATGCTGAACCAATTTAAATAATTATACTAAAATCCCTAGATTTGCCCGGCTGTTGTGGCTCAGTGGTTGAGCATTGACCCATGCATCAAGAGGTTGCTGGTATGATTCCTGGTCAGGGCACATGCCCAGGCTGTGGGCCCAGGCCCCAGTGGGGGGCATGCAGGAGGCCACCAATCGATGTTCTCTTTCATCAATGTTTCTATCTCTCTCCCCCTTTTCCTTTCTCTCTCTAAAATCAATAAAGAAAAAAATAATTTTTTTAAAATAAAAAATAAAATAAAATCCCTAGATTTGGGCTAGTCCAAGGAGCAACTCTAGGACAACTGGTGTACTGGCCACAGAAGAGTGATAGGAAGGGATGGGCGAGTTGGGAAGATATCTGCAAGGCAGTTGCTGGTATGGAGGCAGAGGGTTGTTCAGGCTGTCTCACCATGCCACCCTCTGGCACAGTCAGTCTGTTCTCCTCCCTGACGTGGCCTCCATCCCGCTCCCGTTTGGGCTCCACTGTAGAAAGGGACGGTGCCCGAGGCAGGGGGCCGTCCCCTCGGTGCCGCTTGGTCACATGGGCATCAGGACCGTGCACTGTCTTGACATGTTTCCGGAGCGAGCTAGGATCAGTGTAGCGTTTGGTGCAGCCAGGGAGCTTACACACATACGGCTTCTGTTGAGTGGAAAATGAAGACATCAGAAAAATTGATGGCATCAAGTGAGGATGAGGGGTAAGGGGGAACACAGCACCCATGAAAGTAAGGAGAGTGGGGCCCTTGGAGGAAAAAGTGAGAGGTTGGGGAGAACATTAGGAAAGATGACAGCCCAGGCCTGGGAAGGATGAGGGGTGAACCCAGGTCTGTGAGGCCTCATGAACTCAGGTGTCTCCTTTAGTCAGAATGGGTCTTTTTTTAGGTTAGCCCTTTGGCTGGTTAGAAGTAGGGGGTAGGGTCATAAGTGGAAATCCTTAGTTTCAGAAAGGGCTTCTCCAGGAGAATTATATAGGTGGGGAGAACTCACCTCAGTGGAGTGGGTGCTGGGCTAAGGGATTTCTTATGGGGGATTCCCCAGTAGGTGGCTTCTCAAGTGGGGAGGGTCTCTTAGGTGGGGCATTCACCTCATTGGAGTGGGTCCGATTCTGGTGCTTGGCTCGGTCACTGGCATTGCTGAAGGCTTTACTGCAGCCCTCGTGCTCACACATGTACGGCTTCTCACCCGTGTGTGACCGCAGGTGTGTCTTCAGATTTTCAAGGCGTGAATATGATTTCCGGCACCCCTCAAACTAGGGGTCAAAGGATAACTCTCAGACAGAAGGACATGGAATTAGAGGAACCCTAAATCTCAAAAGGGACATACATCAGCGAATATGACTCAAGATGGGAGAGCTCTGGGGCTTCCGGAGAATTCCCATAGTTAGGGAATGAAGGCAGACAAAAACTGGGGGAACAGAAGTAGCTGCAGGCACTCTGCCTGCAGGGACATGGAGCTGAGGCCAAAGTATCTCTTGGTCAAGCCAGGGCAGGTCTTCCTGCGTGGGGATCTTAGACTGTTTTAGGATGGGATAATGTGGGAGTGTCTTCTGTCTTTGATGCAGGGTTTCTCCATTAGGCAGAGTAGAAGGCTAGGGCCCACAGTACTTTCAGGGGTCCCGCAAAAATGTTTTAATTTCTTTTAAAAGTAAGGAGGAAATTGGCTTTTAGATCCAAGAAAGTCTTCTAATATATAATATTAATATGTTATCTTCCTACCAACAGTCATAGAATATAAATTTTTAATATTTGTTTATGGAGGAAGGAGTCTACAAAGGGCCCAAGAAAGTTATAATGAGGCCCTGCCTTGGTGGGCAGCCCCAATTTAGGGAAGGCCTTGAGTTTGGGAAGAGGGTGCCTCACCGTGCACTTGTGTGGCTTCTCGCCCGTGTGTCTGCGCATGTGGACCACCAGCATGTACTGGGCTTTGAAGGGCCTCAGTTCTCTGGAGCAGCCCCCCCAATGGCACACAAACTCCTTCCGCTCCCCATGGATGTGCTCACTGTTGATGTGCTGAGGGAGAAGATGCAGAAGCTCTCTGAAGTTCCCTTATACCTAGAGACCCAGACCTCCTTCCCTTGACCTCCCTACCACACTATATTCCTCTACAGCTCCACTTCATGGGGGAACATGGTGCAGGATGGACAGCATAGCCACATCTCAGTTCTTTCAATTTTGTAAAACAAAGCTGTAACTTCTGAGTTTATGCCTGCTCAAAAGGAGCGTCAACCACTGACCTTAGTATCCTTTGACCTCTTGCCCTCAGCCTGATTCCAGTGTCCCACCCAGAAAGTCCTACAGGTTCCAGCCAACATTCCTGTTACCCCCTGGGGCTCACGTGCACCAGCTGCTCCTGGGAGTCAAATTCCTGGCTGCAGCCATCCCAGCGGCAGTCTGTCTCATACACAGATTCAGGCTCAGGCTTCTCCTCTCTCTCCATGTCTTCCCTCCCATCCAGCATTCCCAGCAGGGGATCCTAAGGCAGGAGAGGCAATTCTAGGGTCACTTGGATGACAGCTTTTGTTTCATTCAGGTCTCAGACGTAAAGTCTCCCCCATCCTTACCTGTGTGCCTGTGGAGTTGGGGCTGGACATGTCACCTTCCAAGGACTCCTCTGGACACTTGCTAACCAGTATATCCAGCTCAGACTTCAACTTCCCCAAGGGAAAAAGTGAGGGTGATGAAGGTAGAGGTGGGCAGAAGGAAGAAAGGGCCCAGCCTGGTCTTCCTGCCCCGAGTGCCCCCACCCAAGCAGC